CTGGCCCGGATGCGCCATTTACAGAACCATCTGTGGGTAAGATCGAGTTGGAGTTGGAGATTTGTGCTAGCTGTAACAGGATTCCCGTCAACGGATAAAAGGGCTATATCATCGGCGTATGTAGCAACTATGATGTTATCCGATATTGGTAAGTCCGATGTAAAGATGTTATACAGAACCGGGCCGAGGACTGAGCCCTGTGGTACGCCTGCCAGGATATTGTACATGTTTGATCTCGCTTCTCTGTGATTAACTTGGAACGAACGACCCGACAGGTTAGACTCTATGAGAAGAAACATCGAGTGTGGAAGACTGTCTTTAACCTTGGCCAACAAACCCTTGTGCCACACCCGATCAAAGGCTTGCTGCACATCGAGGAAGGCCGCAGAACAATATTTTTTGTGTTCAAAGCTCTGTCGGATCGTGTGGTATACCCGATGAACCTGCTCAATAGTTGAGTGAGACTTACGGAATCCAAACTGGTGACATGGCACAACACAGCAGTCATCCATAAGCGGTTTGAGTCTGGCGAGTAATATCCTTTCCCAGAGCTTAGACAGCACAGGCGTTAGACTAATGGGCCGGTAAGAGGAAGCCTCTTGTTCAGGTTTTCCTGGTTTGTGGATCATTACTACCTGGGAAATCTTCCATATGGATGGAAAGTGACCCGTCCTGAGAATGGCATTGAACAAACAGGTTAAAAATGTAATGCACTTCCTTGGGAGATTTTTTAATATTTTCGGAGTGATAAGATCAAATCCCGGGGCCTTTTTTGGATGTAATGATCTTATTCCTTGCGCAATTTCTCTTGGCGAGGTAGGTTTAAGAGGCAAACACATTTGAAGGTCCTGCGCTAGAGCTGTCTCCAAGTCAGACTCTTCATCGGTCACTTTGTCATTCGGCTGAAACACTTCAGCTAGGTGCTTAGCAAATACTTCCGCCTTTTCTGTATCTGTTCTCGCCCATGTTCCCGTTTCTGTTCTGATAGGAGGGTACTGTTGTTGGGGTCTATTTAAGCCTTTAGTTGCCTTCCAAAGTGAGTGCTCACCATGTCCAGTAGAGGCCATCATATGCAAGTTAGTGTTAACTACAGAGTTGATTGATGCATCGATGATACTCTTGAGCTCTTTGCATGCCTTATTATATCTATATTTGTCCAGCGGATGACGCGACTGATGCCAGACTCGCCTTAGACGGCGCTTTTCCAGGATTGTTGCACGAATATTCGATGGTTGGGTGGGAATGCGTGGAGTTGAATCCTGTTCCGGTGTGTTAGCCCAACCTGCTACTTGGATAAGGTTCGTGACATGTATACATGCTCCATCTATCTCATCGGAGTCCTTAAGGGGTAGGGTAGGGGATAGGTAGTTTTATATTTTGATTTATGTAGCTTCTAAAACCCTCCCAATCAGTCCTATGGTTTACAAGTGATTCTGCCTTATCATGAGTAATCACACTCGTATTCACTGTCAGAATTACTGGTGTATGATCTGAGGATCCATCCAAGCTCGATTCGACTTTCATATTCATATGAGCCACACCCTGACTCAGGAAGAAGTCCAGAAGGTCGGGCAGCTTTCTAGGGTCACTTGGCCAATATGTTGGTTCTCCAGTCGATAAAGACTTCAGATGGATGGTGTCGGCACAGCGCTTTAGTTCGCGTCCACGAGTGCTAGTACAGCGAGAGCCCCAACAAGTGTATTTGGCATTCCAATCACCGTCCGCGATGTATCTTAGCCCAAGGGTCTGAAAATAGGCGGAGAACATTTCTGCTGTGATTTTGTGCCTTGGTGGACAGTATACAGAGGAAAGCGTGATGGAACCCATACGACCTTCAATTGTAACCGTGGTCGCTTGAATATGCGTGGTAGAAAACGGCTCCATGTCTGAGTGTTTAATGCTTTCTCGAATTACCAAAGCAGTTCCGGCGTGTGCTCCACCATCAGGATGGGGGGTGTGGTAGATGTTGTAACCTTTGATGCGAGGACTACTCCTTATGGTGACATGGGCCTCTGATATTAGCACTACGTCTAGTTGGTTTGTTTTTATGAATGACTCTAACTCGTTAACATTAGGAGCTAACCCGTTGATGTTCCAGGTTGCGACTCTTAGGGATGCCATCTATGGAGCCAGTTTGGTTATGACTGTAGTCAACAGTCCCACGAGGGTACTGATTTGTTGTAATAATAAATCTATCTTTTCATTTTGTTTTATTAGTAGCTGTTGTAAAGTAGTGTTGTCGCTCATGTCAATAACTTCATCAGTTGGAAGAGGATTTCTGTAACGACCAGCTGTTACATCTGAGTATGTCACTTGTGTTTTATTCTGATAACCTCGTGGTGTTGGTTTGTGAACTTCTGGGACACTCGTTATGGACTGCGTATTAGATTTACCATCGGAAACTCTGGTAGAAATCTTTTTGGAGTTTGTTTTCCTTTCAAGTATTTCTTTGTATACTTGACAACCTTTGTAGTTTGCGGGATGATCGCAGGAGCAGAGAGCACATTTGGCAGGAGAGTTTCTATCTTTTTTGAGACACTCAGCAGTTTTGTGTCCCTCACCACATTTTACACATCTATAAGGCCTCATGCAGTTATTTTTGGAATGACCATACTGCTGGCAACGTTGACATTGAACAATTGTTTTAGTTTTATCAGGGTCTTCGATATAAACACGCTGATGATAGACGTATTGAATATCTTTAACTAACTTGTTGTTACTGGAAGGTTCCAGATTTACGAAAAATGTTGAAGTTGGTTTCTTATCTGGACCATAGCGACAATTAATAATTTCACCTTTAACCTTATTACCGTGATTCTCAATTGCTTGGATAATAGCATCATGAGGCGTTGTGTGGTGAAGGTTCTTTACGACTATACGATAACATTTGTCGTCCTTTGGAGTAAATGTATGACCAATTAAGCCTTTCTGGCGAATGAGATGAACCACTTTTTTGTAGTTTTCTGACGTGTTCATCATTATGCGCAGCAAATTTTTGTTGACAATTTTAAACTTAAAATCAGTTGGATTCACTGCTGTTTTTATAAGTTTAGTCAGTTCGTTTAGATCTTCTATGCCATACAAAACAATCGGAGGAGGTTTGTTTGGCGGTTTCTTCTGGGTCTCAGTCTCTGTTGAATCCACAGGTAGGCTGGTAAACCTGTTAACCAACTTTGTGTGCGAGTGCGGTGGTGACTGTTCACGTATCTTGCGTTTTTTTGACATCGATATTCGCTGCCATGGAGGTGGTTCTATTCTAGATGTACTTGGGGCGGCTGTTGTATCGTCTTTGGACATTGTCGCCGTATTGTTCGCAGTACTTGAGTTTGTTCCGTTTGATGGAACTTCACAAAAAGAAATGGATCTCTGTCTGGTAAATAGTCCTGGATGAAAGACTTGTTGCGTTAGGGCTTTTTTGGGGTTTTTATTTAAATCACTCATTTCTGTTTCCATCAACTTTTCGCCTTTTTGTTACCGGAAGCCTGGTCAGCCACTTCCAGTAACTGACTTTTATCGGGAGTTCTGAGTATTTTGTGGCGGCCACACTAATTGTCTATGGTTAGAATCATTACTATTCAAATGAGGGTAGCAAAATATTTCAACAGTGTGTTAAATGTCACAGCCGATAAATTTTTCACTATTTTCATACGAAATCCATTGATTTAATAATAAAATAAAGGAAATCAATTGAATGCTTTCTGCTTCAATATTTTAGGGACTTTAATTACAAAAATCATAGTAAGAAATTTGAACATTTCAGTAAACATTTATTGTCGATAAACATCAGTCATTGTAAATGAACATCACTATATAGATATGAGTCTGGAAATTTCTATGGAGACAAAAAGAAAACATTGCATAATAATAGAAATAGTAACTAATAATGCGAATAGCCGGTGGAATGTTATCTCACTAGTTTTAAAATTTTTGTTTTCACTCAATTTTTTACAGGTCTATCTCCACAACTTGGCATTTTCACATTTTACGAGAGGTCTTGTATGTGCAACGATCGCCATGTCACTATGGCGATGTTTGTAGGCACAAACGAACGACATGAACCATGCCTCCATACCAAATCTCCCTTTTTTTCTACTTCTATGAGTTGTAACTAAACAGAGTGTTCCAACCTTGACCTATATGTCAGTTAATAAACATATTAAGCTTACACAGAAAGAAAGAAAAACGTTTCTTCAGCTTATTAAGACTTATACTGAATAGAACAAAACAAAGTAATGATTACAAATATAAGCTGAAACAGATCCAACTCAGCATATGTCACAGCTTGCCTGCCGTAATGTTGGTTTTCAGTTGGAACTGCATAGGTAGGTATTATTAATTTAAATAAATGACCTGACTACCAAATGAACATAATGTCCAGTCAAATAATTGAAAACACCCTTACTTGGTGTAAAGATTTTTTTTAAATATCAAGTTCCAGGCGAACAAGTCGTGCTCCTGATGATAAATTACACGCCTGTCCATAACAGTTGCAGTGCCACTCAGAGTTCGCAAAGATCTGAGGGGTACTACCACTGAACCTGTCACCCTGAGACATAAGTTGACAAGTCCCATGTGCCTGTAATTTCACCCGCACCCTTACCCTTCAAAACATAACTGCTTGGCGGCAGAAATCGGTAAGGTGGCAGTACTACCCTGGACGAACTCTTTCACAAGTTCTACTGCTACGAACGAAGTATAAAATGCTTACAATGAAACATCCAGTGATTAATTTGACTGTGCTAAGTGATATGATAATTTGATAATACATGTTCAAGGATACAAAATACCTTCATGTTTGATGATAGGTTTGAAAGTTTGAATTGGTTAGTTTGTTAATTTTGTTAGTATTTTACATTCAATTGAGCGTCCAAATGACTTATGTACGAAATAAGTGCAGGGTACTTTTTATCGACCTAAATTCAATTATTATTAACTTTATTCGAATTTTACTTATTAAGTCAAGCATAATAAATATCAGGCTATTTTTATTAAACACTTACCAACTTAGTTCGAACAGGTTCTAATGTTTTCATGAACTGACGAATCATTTTAAAAGGATCTATTTATTTACCAATGAGGTACGTACATACAATGCTAACTATATAATCATTATTTTATACTTTATGCATTTTTTTGCACTTCCCATTTTACTTTGTTTTTACATAACCTATACAATAATCTGGAGACAAATAGAGTGGTCCATAGAGGATAGAAAAAACTTACGGTTTTAGAGGATGGAAAGAGCAGAATACGTTATTTATTTATATTACAATTGATTTTTATGAACATCTATTCAAATGAATACGATCTAGCGATTTTTTAAGTCGATTCTTTTCAATGCTATTTTTAAGTGAATCAAAGTATTCATGATTTAAACAAAAGCCTCGTCTTATTAAATCGTTATGCCGCGTTCTCACATTCGTGCGATAAGCGATGCGATGCACGATTCGCATGTGTAAACGGTCACTTTGCTATCGCGAAGTTAGGCACGAGTAGCGTCGCGAAGTTATGCCGCGTTCTCACATTCATGCGATAGGCGATGCGAATAGCGATGCGATACACGATACGTATGTATAAAGGTGGATTCACAATGCAAACATTCTGGCAATAAATTGCCGCAATTCATCGCGTTGCGCGATATGACCTTGAGTTGACCAATCAGGCGCTGCGATGCTTTTAACGCGTGATGCAATTTAAAAGCTTGTTTCAGGTAAGCTTTTTATCGCAAAAAGCGCCAATAAGAGCAACGACGAACTGTCACTGTCGTTTTTATGCAAGGATACGTTTTCGTTATAATTTGAAATGTTTTTAGGGGATGGAGTTTTAAGTTTCATAAGTGGATTTAGTGGATTCCGCATTTTAGCTGCTTAGTAGTAAAAATAAATTGACGGTGAGTGTTTTGTATTGTAAAAATTAGTATTTTTATGATTTTAAGATAGTTATCTGTCTAAATTCCTCATAAACTTCAGTTTATTTATTTTATTTATTTCAGACAATCAACGGCGTTTCTTAAATAATATTTAGCAAAATAAATTATATTTGTTTGAAAGGCCAATAACAGATCGCCCCATGCTATAGAAGGTAATCGGTAAAAAGAATTTAAACATAAAAAAGTAGCAATTGTATCCACTAAGAAAAACCAAATAGGTGTTTTAAATTTAAGTAGTAGACATAATATAGTGTATAGTTAGCTGGTTTGTCGAATTAAAATAGGGAATCGAACATAGGTACAAAATGGAAGAATAAATGGAATCGGCAAACGATGAAGCATGTTTATACCTAACGTCTTCCTTATTATTATTAACCTATAAAGTAAACCTTTGTAAAGGTTAGTAAACTAGTGTTACTAACCTATAAACACCAACAAAACTCACAAACGTCAAAAATACGAGGTCTCTCAACAACTATTGTGCATTCGCCATCAAATCGCACTTCGCTATTACCACCGCAATGCGTTAAATTGCCGCAATTGTATTGTGCCTCATTTCTGTATTGTGAATCCACATATACCGCTCACGACGCGATCGCACGAGTGGCGATGCGATGCACGACGCGAATAGCGAAGTGACCGTTTACACATGCGTGTCGTGCATCGCATCGCCTATCGCACGAATGTGTGAACGCGTTTCTACCTCTCGACACTCATAAAAAACTGTAAACTATTCTATAGATAGACCATAGATGGTATACTTAACTAGTTAGCGCACGTCAACTATTTCACGTTTCTTTCCATTCGTTACATTATCACACGACCTTGACCTGCTAAAAATTATAATTTTAGCACTTTAAAAAGCGCGCTATAAAAATTTAGCATTTAGCGTGCTATGCGATTAGCAGTTAATCTCATCTCTAGGCCTGGCAAGCCTTCCTGTCACTTTGACGAGGAATTCTTTCTGGGTCTTTTGGAGGGAAAAGTGTCGTTTTTATTTTGACTTTTAATTATTTTGTAAAATCTAGTTTAAAGTGGAATAGGATAGTACTATTATGCCTTAATCGAAGATTAAAACGCGAAATTATATGAATCTCGAACTAAAATACCCGTATCGGCCCGTTCTAAGGAATTCCGAGTCAATCCACGCACGCGGCCTAAAATTGCCTGTCCTCTTTGTGGCGGCCATATTCACAGAAACATAATTAAATGAAGACATGGCTCAAATGACTTGTATCCAAGTCAAAATTATTAATAAAAAAAAAGTCACTGACGAGTTTGACGTTACGTTTGTTGACCGTCTCCTGTCTGTCTGACATTATCATTGCATTATTATAACTTGATTAACAATAAAACGAGCCATAGATACAAAAGTTGACGTTGAAGTTGAACACGTGTTTTGTGGTACAGTAATGTAGTGCTGTGTTTTAACGTTAGTAATATATTAAAAATGCCTCCATTTCGAAAAGGCCTATCGAAAAGAAAATTAGATAATAAGGATAGTAAACTGAGTAGTATAAAAAAATCATCAAACGAGGATGACCTTGAGGTATGAACGATGTACAATACAATAACGACCGACACTGGCATGGCATTTATAAAAATTGTAAAAAAATAAATGTACGTGTTAGAGTAGGGCGCAGAGGATAGCTGGGATGAGAAGCTATTTGCCGGTGAGCTGCGCGACGGCAGCGACAGCGATAACGACTCTGAAAGCGAGACCCGCGGCGACACAAGCACCGACAGTGAGATTGAGGTATATCGTATTGTTGTTCTATGTACTTAGTAAGGCATCCCAATTCCATAACCGATTCCTTTAACTTGCCAACATGACTCACGAGTGTTCTCTGGCAGGGGGTATTGTTTCAGGATGATGCCGATTCCACATTAGGAGTTGATGTGGAAGGAATTTGTGACCAATCTTCAGTAAGTTATTTATTATTCGTTTTATGGAAAGGATTTTAGTAAACGTGCCGTCAGAGTATGGGTTGAGGGAGGGTGGGGGAGGGGAGGAGGCGACAGAGGCGACTTCCGCGTTTGTATAAATAACCCTAACTTAACCTAAATAATCCAAATTGTTTTTGCTCAGAGGGACTTCCATGTTTGTATAAAAAATTCTAACTTAACCTGAGTAATCCAATTCGTTTCTGCCCAGAGGGTCTTCCGCATTTGTATAAAAAAAACCTACCTTATCCTAAATAATCCAACTTGTTTCTGCCCAGAGAGACTTCATATTCATATTCATATTCATTTAATCATTGCATTACATGGGTAGGTAGTAGTAGTAGGTATACAATTTGTTGTGATCTGCCATGTAACCCTGCAGGGCACTGCAATATTCACATTATTTACATAATACTACATAATATCATTACATAATATCCACTTTCAATTTAACAATTTACATATCTTTACAAATAAAATTCTTACAAATACAGTCAAATACGGTCAAGTGGAATAATTAATAAAATTTAAATATGTCAATGGTAAGATTAATTGTCAATAAAAAAGAGAAAAATAAATTACAATAATTAAATAGATTCCAAAATTTAAACAACATTCAATTTAATAACAATGACAATTAAATAAAATCTTAAATATAGGATAAGCTTCCAAAAAATGCAATCGAAACTGTAAAATACTAGATTAAATTTATTTATTTTATTTTATTTTAATTTTTTATTATTTAAATCATGATTAACAACTCAATCTCTACTCTCAAAAAACTCTTGTAGTATGTAGAAGGATTTTTGTATTAAGTATTTCCTTAAACTTTTTGTGAACTTGGTACTTGGTGCAATGGGCTGGTGTCCGTAACTCGACGTCAAGGCGCCTATTTTGCGTGTGGTGGAATGGAATCTCAGCAGCCTCCTCGGTTTGCTGAAGACTTCGGGGAGCGACCTTGGCACTCCAAGGTACTTTGCCCTGTAGTTGGCCACGCCGGAGCACTGTAGTAGGATGTGCGCAGCCGTTTCCTCCCCCTCCATGCACGCTCTGCATAGAGGGCTGTCTGTGATACCTAAATTGAAAAGGTGTTTATTGTATGGACCATGACCCGTTAGGGCGGCAGTTAGAGTGCGAAGCTCTTGCCTTTTGAGTTTAATAAATATGCGAGATAGACTGGTATTGAGCATTGGGAGTGCTTCCCTCGCCTGTCTACAGACCGTAAGGGTCGTCCATGCATTATTATGTGACAATTTTGTACCTTTGTGTATAGTTGTTCTGAACCATTGGTAGGGGAGGGATACTATGGGTTCTGGTCCTACATCGTCCATCTCCGACCCTTTTCTGGCTAGTTCATCTGCCGCATCATTGCCACGTGAGCCGCTGTGTCCTTTAATCCACTGTAGGGTTACGTGGTTTTGTATACATACTTCCATTAGTGCTTGATGGCATTCATAAATGAGCCCTGAGTCTATGTCATAGCTATTCAGTGCTTGTAGCACTGACATACTATCGGAGAGTATTCGAATGGAGTGGTTCTTAACTCTTCTCGCTATGATTGCTTCTGCCGCCAGCTTGATGACCATGCATTCAGTCTGGAATACTGTGTTGTGGTCACCAAGTGGTGTTGATATCCTGATATTGACGCCGTGACTGTTGACGCCGCTTCCTGTCTGATGAACAGTGGGAGGGGTCGCAGGTCCAGCATCGCTTCGAGCTCCAACCATTTCCGGAGCTGAACCGTTGCGGCCTGGCTGTGGTGGAGGTTGCTCTGGACGACTTGCAGTTTATTGAGCGAGGGGGATACCGCCATCACCAGACAGCAGCTCCACGTCCTCGTCCTCGGTTCCAGGGGGTTGCGAGTCCGGTCTAGGGAGCCGCTTTGGTGCGGTCCCAGAACCATCCCCGCCAGCCACTGGGGGCCTCGCCTCTCCCCCCTTCTGCTGGGTGTTGCTCGCGTTTTGAAGTCGCTCGCGCTCTCGGAGTCGACCCCGTTTGTTCTTTCGGGCAGGGCGTCCCCTGCTCCCACTGAGAGCTGGAGGTGGTCGCTTGCTCTGGCCACTTTCCCCTTCCGTGCGGATGGGTGCCGTGGTTTTGGGCTTGCGACTCACCAGAGTCCACCCTGCCTCAAGGGCTGTGTGCGTTGGGTTCTGCGATGCAGAGCCAGGTGTCTGAGCGGGGACCACAGAGCACGAGGCTCGGGCCACTACCGCTGGTGTTGGACCAGCACCGGCATCGGTACGCGGTTGGCCTTGGGGTTTCCCCTTTGGCCTACCACTCACCGTAGGGCGCTGTTCTGTGTTTGATTTTGTGCTTGATGGGGCACTTTTGGGTTTCCCCTCCAGTACCACCGGTTTTGAGTGATTGATTAGATTTGATTGATCGGTAGAATCCATAATTCATTGTTCTTGAGTTCACTCTCCTGATTTCCCACCCACCACGGAGCCTGCACCTTTGGGGATGTCCCATTCGGGACATCAGGATTATCAGGAGAGTATAGGTGCAGAGGTTGGGAGCTCACTGCGCGACATCGGGGGCTCGAAATGTGCGGCTGGCTGACCCGATCAAAGTCAGCCAGGTGTTCCGCACATACTCACCCCGTCAGCATGGCCGAGTCCGTCCCCCCCACACCTCGCCTGTGGCCCTCTGACGGGACACATTGCCGTTTCCCTGTGTTGGCTAGTCACAGGGCTACCGTTTAGCAGGAAATCAGGGCCAAAGAGGGCGTATTGCTTGCCGGGGTCTCCACCCCGCTCGGGCTCAACCCTCCAGGATTCCTTCATCCCTGCGTACGGCGCTCAACTGCGTAGGCATGAACGCAGGAGGGTGTAGGTTAAGACCGCCCACCACTTGCCATGATCTACCCTCATAAATGCATGGCCGGGCCGTGTTGATCGCTTCGCGCCCTCACTGATAAGACTCAGACTGAAGCCGAGAGTTGTCAATGTTGGCCCCAGGGTGTACCGGCTACATCCTTGGGCATTCTGTGACAACATGTCATAACAGATTGCTCAAGAACTTCGCACGCGTGGAGGTGGAACAACTAACACACACCTTTCGTGAACTTATCAATGTTAATCTCATTCCTGATAATCGTTGGGACTTTGTTGTTTATTTTTAAACACATTATAAATGGGCCGGAGCTATGCATTTGCAATTTTGAAAGTGGAACAGGTATTTTGTGTCTAGGTCGCAAAGGTCGCGTATCGGTCAGTGGCTGCTCGTTTGGGAAAAGGTGATTATGTTTTCTTATAAATTTGCTCATCTCTAAGATATAAATTGATGGCAAGGTGAGAATATTAAGTTTTTTGAAATATAGCCTGCAACTGTCTGTCGACCTAATGTTGGCCAATATTCTTACACATTTCTTTTGGCACACAAAAAGTTCATTTGAACTCGAACTGTTTCCCCATAATGTCACTCCATATCGGAGTCGGGAATCAGCGACAGCGTAGTATGCGCTCATTGCGGTTTTAAGATCTGTGACCTTTTTTAGTTCCAAGAGGGCAAGAGGGGGTATGTAAAACTAGCCAACTTGGAGCATATTTTTTGGATATGCGCTTTCCACTTAATGTTAGAGTCGATATCTAAGCCAAGCAGTGTGTATGTGCCTACACATCCCAAGGGTATATTATTATAAATGAAATCAATACTAAGACCACGCTTTTGCTGGGGATGATATTGCATAATTTTAGTTTTATCTATATTTAATTCTAGATTGTGATTATTTAGCCAGTTATTTACTTTATTTAGGATAGCGCTACGAATAGAGTTTAATGTATGTTCATCTGTTACCGGGAAAACAATTGATATATCGTCTGCAAAAAGGACGCAGTGTTCGTTAATAATTTTAGGTAAATCATTTATATAAATAATGAACAGCAAACATCCGAGCACACTGCCCTGTGGAATTGATCCTGTCATATGAACTTTGTCCGATTTTATGTTTTGGTTCCATCTTGTTTGGGGATCATGGAAATCTATTTGGTCATATTGTTCACGGTCGGAGAGGTACGATTGAAACCATTTGTGTGCCAAACCCCTAAGACCTATACCATATAGTTTTGCAAGTAATATCTTATGAGACACTCTATCGTACGCCTTACTCATATCGAGTAGAATAGGTACTAATTGCAAAGTTTTTATTATTGATTATATTAAGTATTTCATTTATGTATTTATATAGAGCTAAAGATGTAAATTTGTTTACCGGAAACCGTTTTGATTTTCGCTAAATATATTAAATTTTTCGCAAAAGGAGTACAGCTTGTTTGAGACCGCTGTTTCAAATATCTTTGCAAAAGTAGGTAATAGGGCAATGGGTCGATACTGAGCAGGACTATCTGTAGCACCTTTTTTATGGATGGGCTTGATTTTAGATATTTTTAATGAGTGAGGTACGGTGCCTTCGTTGAATGATTGGTTTATTAGATATGTAAGGGGGGCAGCCAGCTCATTGGCACACCTTCGTATGAGATTTGGTGGGAGCTCATCGTGTCCAAAGGTCTTTTTATTTTTAATATTACGGATGATCTTATGCACTTCACGTTCGCTAACAGGAGATAAGTAGAAAGAGTTAATTTGGCGGTCAGTTACCGGCTCGCCAGCCGCTCGGCTGTTTCCTATTCCCACTGAAGAAAAATAGTCATTGAATATATTCGCCACTGTTTCAGGTTCTTCTATCTGCTTATCATTAGATTTTAGAGATATATTTTTATATGTGTATTTTGGGAGTTTATTAGTGTTTTCTTTTATAACTCGCCACATAGTCCTAACCACATTGTTTGATTTTTCAATTCTTTTTATGTATTGTATTTTTTTGGATTTGTTTACTAAGCGTTTTAATAGTTTCTCATATTTTTTGTAATAATTTTTCAGTGTTATGTTGTTTGTTTGGTCAGTTAACACCTTTAATTGACGTTTATGTTTACAAGACCTTTTTAAACCTGTAGTTAGCCATGTTTTCTTTGTAGAGTATAGTGTTTTTGTTTTTTTCAACGGTATAATTTTGTCTAGTAATTCAATAAGTGTGTTTAAAAAAATATTATAATTTTCGTTAACATTTCTATCTTTTAAAGTAATATTAGGTACTCCAGTCAATTTGTTGTAGTTTAGTTTGGAACGCACTTAAATTTTGCGCATTAAATGATCTCCTTTCAGTGTACCATGGTCTTTGTTCAGAGTTGGGTGAAGGTAACGAGACCAACACGCCTTTATGATCAGACAAGCCGTATTCATCTACGGAAATTTTAGTAGATTTGACATTAAAGTTGGTAAAAATTAAATCAAGGCAAGTTTTTGAGGTACTTGTTACGCGTGTAGGTTCATTTATCTGCTGTTTAAAATTGTGGCTTTTCATAAGGTCAAGTATTGTACGAGTGAGTTTAGTTTGGTCTAGGGCATTAATATTAAGATCACCTCCGATAATAATATTTTTTCGACTTTCCGACAATACGAGTTTTTGCAAGAGCTTTTCTAAGCAGTTGTAGAATATGTCGAACTCTCTATTTTTTCAGGCCAGTAGATAACAATTAAAAGCGTGTTTAATTTCGTAATGTCCGCTGCACAAATCTCGAAGATAAATTCAACACTTAATTTTGATATATGATTTCGCATTTGTATAAAAAAACCTAACTTTGTCTAAACCAATTCATTTCTGCCCAGAGGTACGTCCGTGTTTGTATAAAAAAACCTAAGTTAACCTAAATAATCTAATTCGTTTCTGCCCAGAGGGACTTCCGCATTTGTATAAAAAAACCTAACAACTTAAATCGATCCAATTCATTGCTGCCCAGAGGGACTTCTGCGTTTTGTATGAAAAATACCTAACGTAGCCTAAAATAACTACTGGTGGTAGGCTTCGGCCGTGGCTAGTCACCACCCTCCCAACACAGTCGAGTCGCCAAATGGTTTTTGCCGTGATCCGACTCATGTTCAGGAATTGCCATTAGGAGATCAAGTCTGAACAGTTGTACCTGCTTGTATTGCCACACTGAGCACTCGGTTCTGGAGGCTAGCGGGATCCGAAGCACTGTGCACCACTGGCCGACTGTGGAAAGTTGGGTGCCCAAGTAGTGAGAAAGCCACCCGTGAAAGGCTGCCCCGTCACCCAACGAAAAATCCCGGAATGCTCCACCTTGCCGGTTCGCGACCGGAAGAGAGGACCAGGTGGCCATCTCCGGTTCCAAGTAGGGGACACCCAAACCCCCGTTTGGGTGTCCCCTACTTGGAATGGACCTGTCGTCCAATTTGAACTTCGGCAGATACAGATATATTCGGCAGATGAATCCATGGCCAAAAATGCAGCAAAGATGCTTGGGATCCTTTCCAGGTTGAGGCGTTACTTTACACCAGGACAGTTGCTTCGGCTGTACCAAGCACAAGTCCGATTATGCATGGAGTACTGCTGCCACCTTTGGGATGCCTCTGCTACATATCAACTGGCCACTTTGCATTCAATTGACAACCGTTCCAAGAGGCTTATAGGTGACTCGGAATTAGTGGATGTGAAGCTGCAGAGCCTTGAACACCTCCGTAAAGTTGCCAGCTTGTCGGTATTTTACAGGATATATCACGGAGAGTGTGCGATGGAATTACACGATTTAATTCTGCCTTCTCCTTCCCATCACCGGGGGACTAGGCGTAGGCTTGGGTTCTACCCCTATGTTGTGGATATTCCAAACACTCGCACGAAGCGTTACGCTTCCACATTTATATGGCGAACGGCTATGGAGTGGAATTCCCTGCCTACAGACTTGTTCCCTGAACGCTATAACTTGGGTCTTTACTAGATGAGAGTGAATAGGCATTATTTAGATGTGCATTCTCCATCGTCGACCTCATCGTCACTTTCCATCAGGTGAGATGGAGGTCAAATGCGCGCTTATGTTATATAAAAAAACCTAAATAATCCAATTCGTTTCTGCCCAGAGGGACTTCCGCGTTTGTATAAAAAAACCTAACTTAACCTAAATAATTAAATTCGTTTCCGCCCAGAGGGACTTCCGCGTTTATATAAAAAAAACCTAACTCAACATAGATCGATCCAATTCGTTTCTGCCCAGAGGGAGATCCGCGTTTGTAATTTAAAAAACCTAACAATCGTTTTACACAACGAACAACAATATAAATACACAGTAAAAACACTCTGTAAATGGCTAAAACTCTTACAGCGAAAAGCCAAGAGAAATAAGAAAAAAACAAACGCGATAAATGACGTTGTGTTTTATTGTTAAAGGACAAAATTGTTATTGAATTATCATTACTATTTCAAAGTAACCTTCTTAAGAAATAATATTTTACATATAATGTAAATGCTATTAAATAAGTAATAGTGTTTAAAAAAAGCAATAAAATATATAATATACTTTCAAAATTTAAACAACACATGATATCATTACAGTGGAATGTCGAAACGCAAGACATTAAATTGCGTCAGCTTGCTTTTTTGACATAATTTTTGCATTAGACAGTTGTCAAATGCGTTTTTTGCTTTAATTTTCACGATTTGCAAAAATTACTATCTCGAAAACTTTTGGCGTCCTAAAACTGAAAATTTGTGGAGGGGTTCCGTTTGACTAGTTCTATCTCAAAAATTTATTTGAACGCTCAACTCGACGTCACGTATACTAAAGTTGAGCCAAATTAAGTACATCTGTTTTGTTTTTTGAATTTAAATTACATTTTAATTATCGAGTTCTTAGGTTTTCGCGATTGTTACACATAGGAAATGAAACTATTTTTCCGGATTTAAATCGCGTATATTTGTTTTTTCAATTTTTTTTAATAGTTAGTTAGTTTTTTAGTTTTAGTAATAACATTTTAATTAATAGAATTTTTAATTTACAGGAATTAACGGATTCTGGAGAGGAGTATCATTCAGAGGAGAGCAGCAGTACAGATGAGGACAGTGGGGAAGAGTCTGGACTTGGCCACACACACTCTGGATCCAGTTTAGATGAAGGTCTGGGCCAAGCACACTCACAACTGCAGGACAAAACAAATCAGAGCAAGAAAGCAGTCAAAACAAATAAAGGACAAGATAGCAGCAACAGCATTGAAATATTAGCAAATAAGACAGAGCAAACTGATGTTGTAATCCAGCCTGTGGGTCAAAAAGGTAGGTTCAATCTATATATATATATTTTTAAATAATTGAAATACATGTTTCATAGTATTATTATTGTCCTAATCATTTTGTTTTGTACTGTAATGTACTCGGTGTCTGCAACTCGACATCAGGCGCCTGTTTTGCATGTGGTAGGTGCAGGGTTCTATTCGTGCCACCTAAGCTCCTTCAAGAATCTCGGCAACCTCCTTGGTTTGCTGAAGACTTCAGGGAGCAAGCTTGGCACTCTAAGGTACTTCACCCTGTAGTTGGCTAAGCCGTAGCACTGTGGCAGGATGTGCGCAGGCGTTTCCCCCTCCTCCTCGCAAAGGACTGTCTGTGATACCTAAATTGAAAAGGTGTTTATTGTAAGGACCATGACCCGTTAGGGCAGCAGTTAGAGTGCAAAGTTCGTGCCTTTTGAGTATAATTACTTTTCGAGATGGACTGGCATTGAGCATTGAGAGTGCTTCCCTCATCTGTCTACAACCGTAAGGGTAGTCTATGTGTTATTATGAGAAAAGTTAAATTTTGTACCTTTGTGTATAGTTGTTCTGGACCATTGGTAGGGGAGGGACACTATGGGTTCTGGTCGTACAGCGTCCGCCTCCGATCCTTTTCTGGCTAGTTCATCAGCTGCGTCATTGCTATGTGAGCCGCTATCCACTGCAGAGTTACGTGATTGTGTATACCTACCTCTAAGAGTGCTTGATGGCTTTCATAAAACGACTGTCCTTACGTATACAATCGAAACTTAAAAAATACACCTTTTTTTTATTAGCATAGTCTGCATTTAATAGTGTTATCTTTCGATTGGGAAAACAATAAAACATAAAATTTTATTAGTTTTCATTTTAGCAACACCTAAAGTATCAAATGTCCGCCGCTGCTCCCTTGTGAACTCGCGTATTTCAACTTTCGTCCGTTTAGGCCGGAACTGGAAGCGCGCGAAAGTGAGCCGGACATAACTAGGACAATCGATTATTTACGCCGTCCGCGCCAACCGCGCGCCTGTTATTTGTCATTTATTTGTTGTGAATGCGCTAAAATAATGGTTATGCGTTACATATTTTAAGTAAATAAGTGTAACTACTATTTCAAGACGCATATGTGCGAATAAGTGAATTGAATTTGAAGGCGCTAGAGGCACTTGTCGACGACGAACTGTCATCAGAAAAACTTTGGCCGCCTGGTAATCACTGTAAAAGTAGTTCACTCTTGCAAGCAACTACAGATCAAATTGACAGCGATAATAACGCAGTGATTTTACATAGCAATGAGAGAACTCCAATGCCATTTCCCATACAACCAAATTGTGATAATGCACAACCAATACCTAACAATATTTTGCCTCTAGCTGCAGATTCTCCACGAGTGTTGACGAAATCATCTTACGATAGTTATAAGATCTCTCCGAATGGCTGATATTAGTATTCCAATTCCTAATGTCAATATACCCGAAGACAATAAGGGTTTTTTGATATATGACATTTTTTTAATAATAATAACGCACACATTCAACATAGCCCCGCACTAGGGAAACCCTGTGTCGCGGGTGTCATGGACACACACACAAACAACCACAAATTACACCCAAGCTCACGAGAGCAATAACTGTCACGATTTTAACATATTATTTAATTTTTAGTTCAGGCGTTACTCACGTATAAAACATATTTTAATTGCCTCGTCGTTTCGGACGTATTGTAACGTCTATGGTCTCGAAGGGACTGAAGAGGCGGGTTAGAAGATAATAAATAAAAACGCCTGACAAAAATATTGAAGCAAACAATTTGTATCTAGTTTACTTAGATAATTTTAGTTTATTATAAGGAGATTATTTTATTTATTTTGTTAAGCTTGCACGTTTATGTAAATTAGGTTTTTGTAAATTAAGCATTTAGTAAGTAGGTTGTATGTATAAATAGATAATTATTGTAAATAGATTATAAATGTAAATAGGTAGATTTATTAATTTGTTAATCCTATAAAGTAGTGTAACGACAACGTTACATACCCCGCTTTTTAGGGTAGGATTTTGACTAAGTAAAATCCTCTATCAGCAAAACTACTCAATAGCTCCTTGTCACACATGCATTCATCCATCCATCATATTTTCAGTCCGCTTTCATTGTACCTTTTATGCCTTTCTACATTCAAATATTTAGCCGTTAACACTTTTGAAAGTTGTGTTATAAAGCTTCCTGTCATACTGAGTATTGATATATAAAACACAAAATACTCTCAAGCTACTAAAGATGGGTGATCAAATTAGGTCTCATATTTTTTCTAAAAAATAATACACTGTTGGTCAGGTTTAGATATAACAATTTATCACAGTAGGTAGTACTGTAATTAAAACTAATGCAACATTCGTAGGCAGCATCTACGTAATCATTCATCATTAATCTAGTATGGAACGTCTGGTAAAGGATGATTTCCACAGTGTCTACGTTAAGTGTATATATGCAATTACAGAAGGCAGCATCAACTGTAATCACTTTATTAAAAAAATATTGCCAAATATCTTGTAGAAAATATCCGCAATGTATATAGTGTCACTTAAAATGTTATGAATTAATAAGAGACGATAAGTTAGATAGAGATAGTAGTGATTTTCCTATGTGTGTTTAGATTTATAAGTAGTTTAGGTTTTATAGTTTGTTAATTTTATATCCTTAATATGCCAGTCACCTATGTTTTTACCTTGCATATCCTCTAGAACATAAACTAAAGGTGATTTTTTAGCAACAACCAGGCATTTTACAAACTTGGGTGCTAGCTTTTTCGCAAACTTAGTGTCTTTGTCGCTTTGGTAGTAGGTTCGCTTCCAAACATAGTCACCTACATTGAAATCAGCAATTTTTCTGCGCAGATTATAGTTACAGCTATTACGAGTATGAGATTTTAATAAGCGTGATTGAATATCTGCAAACAACTTCCGTAGCACACCGAGATTTTCTGCGTACTCATCCCTAGATGAAAATATAAAATCATTAATCCCATCAGCATCTATGTAGTGCGAACCACAACTTACCAATTCACGACCGTACGCTAAGAATGACGGAGTATAGCCAGTGACTTCATTTGTAGATGAATTTATAGCGAACTGAATTTTGGAAATGTTGGAATCCCAAGATCGATGATCTTCATTTGCTATAAAAGAGGAAACAGCCGTCATAATAGTTTTGTTATATCGCTCTACAGTGTTAACCTGTGGAGTGTACTTAGGAGTATACTGTACATTAGGGACTCTGTATTTTATAAAAAGTTGTTTAAGAGTGTTACTGATGAATTGCTTGCCATTATCCATCAGGATAGTACTGGGAATGCCGTGTACTAGAAAAACTTGTTCCTCCAGAATGCGTGTGAGGATTTCCGCAGATGCACGTCTAATGGGGAATAATAAGCAATATTTCGAAAAGCAGCAAGTGACAACAAACAGAAAAGTATTTTGTTTCCTAGAAGGTGGTAACGGTCCAACCAAATCCATGCTAATCATTTGAAATGGTCGACTACAATCCTTAGGACGTCCCATCGTTCCTAGTGTAGCGTGGTTTGGATGTTTATATGACTTACATACTTCACAATCAGCAACAAAGTTAGCAACGTCACGATGCATATCGGGCCAGAAGTACTTTAAAGAAATTATTTTGTACGTTTTAAACACACCAAAATGACCTGCTGTTGGATCAGAATGATTTTGCTCCATTATTTTGATACGGTGTTCGCGGGGAATAACTTCTTTCCATTCAAATTCTCTAGTTAAGGGATTTAGACTTTTCTTAAAGCGATAAAGTTTATTATTTATTATGTTGTAAAAAATATTGAGATACCAAGGATCTGTAGTTACTTGCACTATGTCAGAGTTAGGAGTGGATATATTTACTGCTGATAACGGTATACGTGAAAGACTGTCAGGAACCACGTTATCAGAGCCGCGGCGATGTCTAATTTCGCAGTCGAATGCTGAAAGTCTGACACCCCAACGAGCTAAACGACCCGTAGGATTATTTAGATTGAGAAACCATTTCAGCGCTGAATCATCGGTATAGACAACGATGTTTTTTCCATTATCCAGGTAGCAACGCCAACGTTCTACAGCCGTTAAGACCGCTAAAGCCTCACGCTCAGTAGCACTATAATTATGTTCCGGTGTAGACAGCGATTTACTCATATAGGCTATAACATGCTCAATACCATCAAGAGTTTGAGTTAATACCGCACCAATACCTACATCGCTAGCATCCGTATGCACTTCAAAAGATTTTGAATAGTCAGGGCAAGATAAAATCGGAGTAGAGACAAGACACTCTTTGAGAGATTTAAATGCGGCATCAGCCTTAGCACACCATGCAAAAGGAGGTGCATTCTTACCTTGAGACGTTAATTGGTTTAAAGGAGAAGCCAAAGTACTAAAATTTGGTATAAACCGTCGATACCAGGAAGCAGTACCTAAGAATCTACGAACTTGTTTACGATTTTTAGGTGTAGGGTAATTAACTATTGCCTCTACCTTTTCAGGATCAGCATGGAGACCGTCACAATCAACTATGTAGCCCAAATACTTTAATTGTTTTCTAAAAAACCTGACTTTTCTCAAAGTTTATTGTTAGATTGGCCGATTTTAGCTTATCCAACACGCGTACGAGTAACGAGATATGTTGTTCGAAAGTAGGGGAAACAATGATAATATCGTCAATATAGACAAAAACCTTATATTCAAATTCTGGTCCGTAGAACAATTTGTCGACTAAACGCTGTTGTGTCGCAGGTGCGTTAGTAAGTCCGAATGGCATACATTTAAATTGAAAAGTGCCACGAGACGGTATGTAGAATGCAGTTTTACGTCTATCTTCCTCCTTAATCAATATTTGCCAAAAACTTTTAGACAAATCTAAACTCGTTAGGTATTTTGCGTCGCGAAGATTATCTAGTATTTCGGAGATGTAAGGTAGGCTGTAAGCGTCTTTTTTAGTGACAGCGTTTAGCTTACGACTGTCTAAGCAAAATCTTAGTTGTCCATTTTTCTTTGGAGTTAAAAGGACAGGTGAGGACCACGGGCTTTCACACGGTTCCACTACATCCTCTTTCAACATTTCATCAAGCTGTTCAACTAAGATCCGTTGTTTTTCTAAAGGCATTCGGTAGTAATGTTGACGAATGGGGGCAGCATTCCCAGTGTCAATGGAATGTGTGATTAGGGTAGTCCTACCTAAGCCACGTTCTTCATAGGAAATGTTATGAAATTGAGATATAATAAGATCAGCAGTGGTTCTCTGGTCTTCAGATAGATGGCTATAGTCACACAATTTACTATTTGTATCTATTGGGAGATCAACGAGGGAGATATCTGATTCAGCACGCATGATTACACTATTTAGATTTTTTGGAAATAAACCGAAAATATTCCAGAAATCCATACCCAAAATTAATGAATTTTTAATTTGTGGTACAACATAAATATTCATGATGTGCAATTGATTTTGGAAGGTTATTGGTATCTGAATTAAACCAATACTTTTTAATATTTGTCCACCGGCAGCTTCAAATGTTAAAGGTGAACTTTGTTGTAATACCCAACCTTTATCTGTAAAATGCTGATGTGAGTTATTACCTAGTATTGAGACTGCACAGCCTGAATCCAGTAATCCTAGCAGCCATTTACCTTGTACATTAATGTTTACATAAGGACGGGAGTTGTCCCTATTCTTATTGTGGATTGAAGCGACAGTATAACAAGAGAAATAATTGGAGATGAATTGCAGCCAATCCAACCATTCTCTGGAGTTAGACTTGTATTTAGTGCCAATAACACTACAATCCACACTATTTAGTTTTTTGAATTATTAGTAGGTTTGCATATTGAGCACTCCGGGTAACGCACTCCTTTCTTCCCACATTTAAAACAAATCAAAAAATGAGGTTGTTTACAATTTTTTAAAGAGTGTGAATCATTTCGGCACCTTGGACAATAAACCTTTCTCGTCGTTGTGTTAGGCGAATAGCTCAGAGCGTTAATATTTATATTATTAGATTGTTTAGTATTATTATTTGTATAGTTATTTTGGTTTGATCTATGATTTTTATATTTATTCTGATCGTACTTAGCATAAGTGTTGTGATTGCTGTTGTTACTAAATGATGTACTAGTAGATGGACCATTATACGCAAATTCTTAAGCCAATGTCTCCGAATTTGCCCTAGGTGGATCATGGAATTGCACCATACGAGACTGTATATTTTCGTAGCTACGACACATATTTTTTAATTCATCTATACTGGCAATATTGGGAGATGCAGCTAATGTGCTGGCATAAGAGGGTCGGATATTGTGCAATAAAATCTCAAGTTTGTCTTCTTCCGATAGTTTTTTTGATAGTCTAGAAAACAACCCGTGCATAATGGACAAGTAAATAGAAATATTTTCATTCTCACCTTGAGTACGCAGACGAATCTCTGATAGCAAACGATAATCGTAGTCGTTATGACTAAAATCTTGTTTAAGGTGTTCAACAAGTTCATCCCAAGACTCAACTTTATCTTTTATACAGCGATACCAATGCAAAGCATCATCAGTAAAAATTTCGAAGCCAAAATTCAGCAAACGTTCTTTAGGAATGTTTCTAGAAAGTGCGAGCTCCTCAGCTCTTTGTATAAATGATCTAACACAAGTTTTACCGGAAAATTTAAGTTTATTGATAACTTCAGATACTATTTTCTTTTCACAAGTAACTGTAATTACATCAGATACAGGATCAGCTATAGATGTGGAAGATGAAGATTCGGGATTGAGATTTTTAATAGCTCTTAAATCATCATAATGTTTTTTAAACAAAGCAGCACACTCACTGTAAGTAGTTTTAACGGTAGCGTGAAGACTAACTTGGTTGATTCTAAGCATTCTGAAGTAAATATGGTGAAGAATTGTTTCTGTGCGAGAAAAAACATTTTTATCAAATTTTGTTTTTAGGCTATCTAAGTTTAATTTAATTTTATGTTGAGTTTCCTTAACTTGTGTCAAGTCCTCAATTGGTTCTAAATGTGATTCTAAAATGTCTTCCGAAGGTAATATTGCAGCTAATTTAACTATTTGTTTTCTAAGATCTTGGACAGATTCGTTTTCCGTAGTACCTCCCCTAATGGCAACTTCGTATTCGAGTTCCGCTTTTTGGAGTGAAAGCCACTGTGACGTTTATAGGTATTTTATTTAGAGAGAACGTCCGCTATTGTAGAAGTTAAGTATACTAAGCAAAATAAAAAAAACTAGAAAATTTACAATGCGTATATTAAGAATAAATATATGTATATAGTAGTAATATATAGCTAAAATAGATAATAAAGTACTAGCTCTCAGGGTACTGAGTTCGCGTTCACTAAACGAGTTCCGTTACACTGTCTCCGTATTGGAAAACCACTTCCCTGACGTCCGGTAGCTCGATGCGGACGACAATTGGTGATCCGGTAGTCCTTTTATTATTTTTGGCAGTGTGCACTTTAGCTCCAGGATAGATCACGCTGTTGCAGTTCGTATGCCTGGACGTAGAACCCTGGAAATATCCGGAATTGGGAGTTTCAGAAAAAGTCCGAATCATTGTTACTGCCTGCTACATCCGGAAAAGTGAAGATGGACGCACTGCTAATTGAAATGGCTACCAAAGCATGAAATAGCGATCAATGATGTTGTTGCCTCACGCAAAATCAACTTAATTATTTAGTTAATAACATGCATTAGAAAAGGAAAATTGCTTTTAATAACGATAGAAACTAGAAGGTACTTGAATACATTTTGATAGTAACTAAATGTTTCTAATATTTTAAAAACTAAATAGCATGATTAATATGAAATTAACAGCGTAAAGGACAATCAATTTTATTAAATTTTGTATAAGGGTAAGTCAGTGACAATTCTGAATAATTTATCATTTATGCGGATTTCTAGTTACAATGAATGCACTAAAAGCAAGACAATAACTAATATTAACATAGCATGAGCTTCAAATATTGTGTGGTAATTAAAATATTATAAATTAGCGTAATTCTACAAATTAAATTGCATCACTCACCCAATTGGGGATTTTACACTAATCACTGTATGTTGATTAAATATAATTACTTTTTTTCTTTAAATAGAAGAAATTGGTTTCCAATTTACTATCAATTGGCACAGATGGGAAACCTTTGTAGAAATTTATAGATTTTTTGAAAGATGTTAATCGGTCCCGCACACAGAACAAAATGCCGGCTCTGACCTTGCACTCTTGCAGCGGTCAACTCGTGTCCCCGTGACTAGTTTACGGACTCGTTTATGTAAATAAAAACGCCTGACAAAAATATTGAAGCAAACAATTTGTATCTAGTTTACTTAGATAATTTTAGTTTATTATAAGGAGATTATTTTATTTATTTTGTTAAGCTTGCACGTTTATGTAAATTAGGTTTATGTAAATTAAGCATTTAGTAAGTAGGTTGTATGTATAAATAGATAATTATTGTAAATAGATTATAAATGTAAATAGGTAGATTTATTAATTTGTTAATCCTATAAAGTAGTGTAACGACAACGTTACACCGATACCAAAAAGGTTCAGGAGGCTCTATGTGGGCACCCCGCTCAGGGAACGGAGGAGTGCGGTGAGGAGGACATCATCATCGTCAACCCTTTTTAAACGTCCCACAGCTCGGCACGGGTCTCCTTTCAGACGAGGGTTTAGGCCATAGTCCGCCACGCTGTGGACTTAGGCGAGGAGGACATCGGCTCACAATTCATGTGTAAACCTGTCTACAGCGACGGATCCCCGAAACTGTGGTGCCAAGACACAGCCACATTCCAATGGCTAGAGGACCCCTCTCATTGAAAAATGGGGTGGAGGCTCCCCGAAGGGTGGTCTGCAGGCGGGTGATCCCTGGCCATTGGGAGGATGCACGCATAATCGGCCGCATCCTCAAGTGGCAAAACCCATGAGCGGAGGTTCACCGCTCGTTTATGCACAAGCTGCAGCAGCAAAGTGGACATATCTTCGACGTGGTGAGCCTTCCCGAAGAAATGGTCCTGGCTGTTCTGGGGCATGACCGGTACTTTCCAGTTAGGCACGGTCTACCTCAGGTTCAGATCTAAAAGGGGCCTGTACACAGACGCACCGCCTAAGAAGGCGGGAACTAATAATACACCGATGAATATCTCCCCTTAGTCCTCCACCTCGTCTGGCATCCACGGAGAAAGGAAAGGGCCCTCCTTGACCCCCGTCTCTGCGGACGCCACCGATAAACCGATGGCGGCTAGCTGTGATGATGAGTGCGTGTCGGGGATGGGAGACATCCGACTGAGCGAGGACGAGAAGCTACCGTCTACTGATGGCGGATTCCCCCTCTCTCGCTATTCTGTGAGATTGACGACTGTGGGGAGACGTTGTAGCGTGGTGGTAAGCGTAATATTGCTTATGGACAATATGTCGGCTGTGGAGGCGGGAGCTTTCAATGAAGCCATAGATTAATGAGAAACCACCACAGGGAGTGAAGTAAAAATTTAGTATTTGAACTTCATAGACAGCAGCAATGTTTGTAAAATATTTGTTTCAATGCGCATTTCGATGCGCACATCTATGTTACTACATATGTAGTAACATAGATGTGCGCATCAAAACTACAATATATTTGCGACGGTATCGGGTTGTCTACGTTCTTTCTCCGTCCGACATCCGTCCGAGACAATTACTGTCAAATAAGTAATATTCGACCAAATTTAAGGACAATGTCAAGTGAGATCATCTTGCGTCTTTTTATTTGGTCGATTCTTCAATTCTCGTTCCTATAATTTGTCATATTTTCAACTCTTCTTTCGTCACTGGCACCTCCCCGAGCTGCTATAGTACCTATCCCTAAAAACTCTAATTTCCAATCTGGCTTCCGCTCGGGGCATAGCACTGTTACTGCTTTGACCAAGGTGTCCAATAACATTCGCGAAGGTATGTAGAATCAGCATCTGACAGTATTACTTCTTTTAGATTTCAGCAAAGCGTTTAGCACTGTTGACTTCGACATCCTGTAAGCAATTCTGAAATCTGTCTGTGGGGTGATTTCGCCACTATCTCGTTGGGCGTCGGCAATGTGTTTGTGTCAATATAATCGCCGAACTTAGTGACGACCTCGCGACAATACACAATTATAGTCGAATTATTTGCCTTACGATCAATCCTAACAAGTCGCAGGCTATCGTCATTGGTGGCTCGAAGCAGATCGCCAATTTAAATAATACAACTACTCGCTCGCTCCTCTTCATCTCCGTTCCTTAACCTTTCTCTTTGACTCCACCCTGTCTCGGTCGCCACAATCGCTGAGGTGAGTAGAAAGGTGTTTGCTGCCGTTGGTTCATTGCGATGATGGAAAAATCTGCTTCCTATGAGGACCAAGGTTAAACTTGCGCAATCGTTGTTCTTACCTATTCTAGATCATACTGACGTCTGTGTCACTGACCTCAATGAGGATCTATTAAGAAAACTCCAACGTCTACAGAGTCTTTGCAACAGGTTCAGACACGGATTGCGCAGGTTCGACTCAAAATAAGAAATTCGGGTACATGAATTATTTATCAGGGCCGTGGTTGTAATGCCTAAAGATTACTTGTTCCCACCTCTGGAGTTCCGTACTCCCCTAAGAAGCGTGTGAGTGTCCTCTGGTCACGGAACTTTCGCAGACAACCGGCGGAAGGATGCAGCAGATGGCGTGTTCGACGCTAGCGCGCGCGATAACTAACGGAAACGGCGAGAAGTGTTAAAAATAAACTTTATTAACAACCGTCAGAGTAATAGCTCAGAATAATATTAATTAATTGTCAAAAAATACAAGTACTTATACTAAATTACTAGTTAACTAAGAAGTTCGGAAAGAGTCTAGTCAGTAGAAGAATTAGGATTGACGAGGCATATATCCTTAGGTTTATTGGACATAACTCTTCCCTCCCCAAGAGCGAAATTATCTGAAGATGACGTAGAAGGCTTCGGATTATTTCGCTTTAATTTCTTTGATAAAAATAATCTGTAAGTAAACAAACAAATTAATTAAGGTTATTAATATTATTATATATAAAAAACTGCAAGTTCTTCCTCACTGATAGAAATAGAAAGCATACTTCCCGTTATGGTGGAAAAAAGATATTTATACCGTTGTACGCGGATAGATTCCAAAGCAAAGAATCAAATATGAGAAGACCTAAATGTGGAAAGTATGAAAGAGTGATCAATGGCCTGCAAAAACTATAATAGATGGAAGGAATATTTGTACACTTTTATGAGGTACATCCTGGTCAATTTCCGCCGGAAGTAAAAAATGTTCGAAATTCAAATAAATAAGATGGCCGCAATACAAATTTCAAAGTCTCCTATCACGGAAACTATTAGAGATAGGTAGGAGGTGCTCGAAGGAATGTCATAGAGATTAATAGTGGTCAACTGCGTGGGCTAAAAAAACAAGATTGCGAATTCAAAATGGCGGCCGAAGAAAAACTTGCTTCGATCTGGCTGAAAATTGGTATGCTTTTGGGTGTCTTTAGGAGTCCTTAACCATAATTTGGGGTCAAAAGTTACTTTTTGCCATTTTTTAATATGGCTGTCATATAAGCGTTTTTTTTTGTCAGTGTGGCTGCCATGTGTAAAGTGGCTGCCGAAACGGACTTGCTCTGATTCGGCTGAAAATTGGCATGTGAAGGTCGCTAGAAGTGCTGGATAATATTTTGTGCTCAAAATTTGATTTTCGCCATTTTAAAATATGGCCACCATAAAAGCGTTCGTTGGCGGCAGAAAAAAAAATTGCCTGATCCCTTTGAAAATTGGCATGTGTAGGTCTCTAGGAATGCTTGATAATAATTTGTGATCAAAAATGGTTTTACGCCATTTTTTAATATGGCCGCCATACAAACTTCAATTGAAAATGGACATGTCGGGGTCTTTATGAGAGTGTTTAATAATAATTAGCGGTTAAAATTTATTTTTCACCATCTTTCTATATGGCTACCATACAAACGATTTTGGCGATAGATACAAATTTCTTCATATTCGACTGAAAATGACATGGCATCATAATTTGGGGTAAAAATTTTGTTTCAGCTGTTTTTCGATATAGCCGTAATTTACTTATGGAACTTGCTTTGCTCGGACTGAAAATTAGCACGAAAAGATTTCTAAGATTGTTTGATAATAATCAGTGGTCATAATATATTTTTGTAATTTTTAAATATGGCCGCCATTAAAGAGGTATTTTTGTAATCATATACGGTTCGGAAGTTTTGTTCTTCTAATACAATTTTTAAGGCATCCTCCAACGTATTTACGTTTCGCAAACGCACCAACCTTACCAAATGTGCAGGTAAAGTTTAGAGGAACACAATAAATTATACATTGTTACAGATATGTTGTTTAGCTTGACGCTCGTTTGCGTTACTGATTGTTTCGCTCAACTTCGCAAATAGGATACTACGCAATTGTTGTACTCTATAGCAAAATTCAATAAAACTCTCTCCTCTATAAATTTTTACGCACTCTAATTCCATAACAAGACAGTCCTCTGTTCTCGGATCTCCGAAATGTTGGGATAGGAGTGCTTTTAACTCTTCCCACGTACAAATTTGATCCTCTTCTCCCACTGATTTCGCGGCTTCCCCTGCTAACCGACTAGTGACTACGTGGAAAAGATATCGGTTCTGAGCCTCATTTCCCATGTAATTTTCTAAAACATATTGACACTTCTTTAAAAATAAGGGTAGCTGTCTAGCATCACCCTCGAATGTGGGAATGATTTTAACTATTTGTACAGGTACTCGGTTAACGATCTCCATTTTTTTTGTGAATACGGAATGTACAGAAAAAAATAAATATTTTATTTTATTTTATTTTATTTTATTTATTGGAAGACCAACGGC